TAAAGGAATGGAAAACGAAGCCTCGCAACAGCAGTGATACTGAATCCTCCTTGTGCTCATTGTTCACTTGAAGGCCGTTCATGCCTACACCTGTAAACAAACAAGCAAATCGTTGCAAACAGCCTGTATTACCTCAATGCACAACGCCAGTGAGATTGACTCGCTCTGGGGCGTCCGAATCAGCTGCCACTGCCAATGGATTAAAGACTCAGAGAATCCAGGCTCCGACAGTGCTGGAGCCAAGGTCCTTCTGGGCTACATGTGAAAGTGTGTCAGCACGCAGACTGCCCCCATGGCGCGAGTGGCGATCCTCCAACCGTTGGAAGTGCCGCATGTTTCAGAGCGGCTTCTTTCAATTCTCGTTACCTGACTACATCTCCATGATTCTGCGGCACGATAATTTACTGCATACATGGTCACGGGAACACCTGGCCAATGTCCTTAAAGGTCATGTGCGAAAGGCTTCGCGCAGATGTCCACTTGATGGGACTAAAAAGAACAACGCTCGGAGCACATCTGAAGGGCGCACTGCCCTTGCATCTCAGGCGTGTCGGACGTCTCAATTGGTAAGGCGATTGGAACCATCGGACAAGCCTAACCGGGCGCATCACTACGCAGCATTACAAGTCTAGGGAAGACAGACATCCGGACCCCTTAGCACGCGACCCACGGAAGCATGTTGTCAGAAGACCTCGGGCATGAAGAGGACCGTAGCTAGTGGAGCCGTCTCCCGTTTAAGTGAGGGCTGCCCATCAGTGGTGCGTTTCTGCGGTAGGACTCCCGCGAGAATCCTCGCGTTCCGCATCGGGGGCTTGCGCATGGGCTTAGCCTCAGAGAATGGAATGCTGGTGATCCCGAGCCAAGAGCGTCTACAACCCTGGAGGCGAGGGCTCGCAATCCTCAGCAGGCGAGTTCTCCAGCCTGAGGGCAGGAAGTCTTCCTGTCTTCACCTGGCCCGAAGTCGAAGCGCATCAACTGGGGCTCCAGCTCCCGCTCACCGCTCGGCATCTGTCCAGGCCTTAGCTCGACACCGAATTCTCTTCATTTGAAGGCAACTGGTTCGATTGATGTGAAACAGCCATCAAAAACCAAAACGCCCCAGAGTCTCACAGAGTCTCAACAATCTGCACCGCAATGACCACATTCTGCGGGAGCATCCTGCCGGCGGACAAAGATGCAAGACGAAGGGCAACAAAGGATCCGAAGCTCCGCTTCCGTCAGGCCCCGGCAACATTGGGAAGAAAGGCATCTGCCCGCAGTGCCTCGTGTAGCACGTAGCCATTCGTAAATCTAGGCATAACGAGCTGAGCTGACCGAGATGCTTTGCTTTGTTTAAACATGACGCGATTACTTTCATTCTCAAGCACATCAAGCATCCGCACAAATCCCTGTCTCACAGTGGTGCGCGGCGGTGCTGCAGGAACG